CTGAATCAGCACTTGTCCACTATTTTAGATCCGGCTTTGAGTTTAGACTTGGGCATGGGCTTTTGGGGATTTTCCTGGTTGGAGAAACTAAAGGACACTGTAATTGGTGAAATTCTCCATCGAAGGAGCTATTCCGGTTTCAGATTCTCCGTTGAAAACGAGGTACTTCTCGGGAACCATATTTTCCTTATCGTTGTCTTTCTATTTTCTCATAGCAAAATGGCGTCTTCATTGTTTCGATTTACTTGAATAAATCTCTGCTTACTCGATTCAAAATTCCCAGGATTTTAATGGTCTACCGAATCGGACAGGTTTTCGTCAAGACAATCACAGTTCTGTGATTCTGATATCGATTGGTGAATTTGTAAACCTAACAAATCATATCACTCTTCGGTCTCTGTCTTCAGCTATATTTACTGTCCGATGATGGAGTCTCCTCCAATGCATAGAAGCTCTACAGTTCATAAAGATCCCTCGAAATCAGACAGTTTATGTGATCGCTCTGTGACTGGCAATTCAGACCATGATATCTGGATTTGGATTATCGAGTATTTTGCCAAATTCAAAAATGAGATTTGGATGCTTCATGGTAATTAAATTTTGCATCAGTTTTTCTGTTTCTTTGATGCTAGATTTCAGTTTTTTTTTTCTGAGATTCTTGTATTTTTGTTGTTCTGTTTATTTGCAGATGTCTTTGAAATGGGTCCTAAGCTTCCAGATTATCTAGGTGAACATACCAATGAGATGGTAGCTTTCAGATGCTTAGCTTCTTTGTTTGATTGTTCGACTTCTGGACAGAGTAAAGATGTTGTCTCTGATGCTAATAATAAGTCAAAGATCGAGTTCGATTCGTCCAAGAGCTGTGAATATGTACTTCAATGTATCTTGGATGAGGTACAAATGTTCAATATACAAAACTTTTGTCATGTGGTTATTGATTTTTTACGATGTCTACTTAGATTGCTCGATTGAACCTTCTTTTCGTAGGTACCTTTGTTGGAACTGAAACCAGGTGCACCGGGACTATCAAAGTGGAATCTTCTACCCTATATCAGAAGCAAACTTCTTTGTCTCCCAAAATGCGCTTTGGAACTGGTATATTAGGCTTTTTCGATTGCTTAAAGTACCCTACTGATTTGCAATATACGGCTTTTGAGGTTTATGTTTGTACATTCGTTTTGTTTAATCAGATGATAGAGACATCCTGTGAGAATGAAACTGGAGTATCGCCTTGTAAGGAGCAAGAGACTGATCAAGTTACACCTCGAGTGGCTGCTGATGCAGATCTTACAGGGAGAAAAGAAGACGGACGATCACTTTGTCGCGACACTGTGGATGAGACTGATGAGATTAGCAGATCCCACGCGTCGCTTGAAAGAAGAAACAATGGATATCAAAATGAAAGCAATGGTCATGTGTCAAGTCCATCAGAGAACAGATACATATGCATTCAGTGCAAAGAAAGTGGGAAGCTCTTGTTCTGTTCGGGCTATGGATGTACAGTCATGGTTCATGAGAAATGTGTTGCGGATTCATCACCACCTGCTTATGATGATGCTGGAAACTTTTACTGCTCTCTCTGTGTTATTACTTGTGTTTCAGCTGAGTATCTTCAATCCCAAGATGAAGTTGCTAAAGCAAAGGAGAAACTAGTTTCGTTTCTTAGTCTAATGTCAGAGGTTAACAAAAAGAAAATCATTGATGGTTCTAGTCTTTGTAATATAAAGCCTTGCTCATAAACTCTTAAGATTGTCGACAAAAGGAAAATTACATTTGCATTCAGTGCTCTCTCTTCATTACAATTTTCCGTGGTAATATACAAAAAGAAGATCTCTAACAGTCTCTGATACTTCTTTGTGATTTTTAAACAGGAGTGATCTGTTCTGAAACAGAAGCTAAACCATGCATTAACCTGACAATCTCAGTAGTATCATCCAGGTAATACTTGGCCTTGCTAGGCTTTTGACCGACAGTACAAGCGAAAACCTCAGCTCTTGGTGCAATCGAAGGACCTTCGGTGGAACTGCAGATTACTTCAAACATGTCTTCATCAGACCGGTCATCTCCAATACATAGAACAAACTCGGGAGGTGTTCCTCTTTCTTGCATCATCGAAAGCATCCTTCTCGCTATAAGTCCTTTGCTCACACCCTGCATTACAACAAGAAAGAACGACTCGTGACGGTACAAGAGGAAAGAAATGCTATACGTTTTTTGAGGGACTGAACAGTGTCACAGACCTGCGGCTTGACCTCAACATAGTTCTGTCCTCTCTTGACTGTTACAGGTTCATTGGCAAGGACACTTTCAAGATGGTCTAGAAGTTCCTTAGCTTGACATGAACCGAAATCAGGGTCCGCATCCTCATAGCTCCAAACCAGAGCAGTCTCCTTGTCTTCTATTGTTGATCCATCGGTTGTCTCGGTGTAAAGTTCCATCACAGGCTCTGCGATTTGCTTCCAAGAACAATCTGCTGCTGCCACACAATTTTCCCATTCTTCTGCCTTCCTCAGCCTGCGTAGTCGTCAAATAGAGCCTGAGTTATAAGATTAAGAGCAATGCATGGAAATAAGAAGTTCCGGATGGTTACCTCAGAAAATAGCCATGTTCAGCAGCAATTCCAAGCTTCTGACAAGGACTAAACCAGTCCGACAGTGTTTCTCGGCTTTTAGCACTAACAATGAACACCAGATTGTCCTTGTCCCTACACAAGGTGTTCAAAATGTCGATTGACTTTGATGAAGGTCTTTTATCGATAGAACCCTGTGGCATTAAAGTATCGTCATAATCCAAAAGAATAGCCCGTGTCTTTGTCCTTTTATAAGCTGATACAATGTGTTCCATGGACAGCTTCCTGAAGCTCTGGTCTAGTGCCACAACTCTGAAACTGAGACCAAACCCAATTCCCCAGCACCTTCTTCGTCCATGCTCACCGCAACTCCTCTCAAGATCTTGGAGGAAGCTACGAGCCCAATAACCAACATCATGTGTGCTCACATACTTGTAATGCTTCTCATGCCTTAGCTGTTTCTCCGGTTCAGCTACTTCAAGGGCACTGTCCATTGCATCGGCCACTGCATCAACATTCCAGGGATTAACACGAATGGCTCCGCTTAGCGACGGGGAGCAACCAATGAACTCAGAAACCACCAACATGCTTTTCTTGTGATTATGATGATTCGGCTCCAGCTTTAAAATTTTGTCCAGCTTCTCATTTCCTTGACGGGAAACTATGTATTCATAGGGTATAAGATTCATCCCATCCCTAACCGCTGTTACCAAACAACACTCAGCAACTACATAATAAGCAACCCTTTCATAGAACTTCAACGGTGCATCGATCAATACTATAGGATCGTACCCGGGTCTCCCAAACGTCTCATTAATCCGCTTAACAGTTGAATAAGTCTCTGCTTGCATCTCTTTAACATCTTTCCCTTTCCCCCTCGCCGGATTAGCTATCTGCACCAACACAACTTTCCCTTGCCATTCAGGATGTTGTATAAGCAGCTGTTCCATAGCCAAGAGCTTCAAGGTTATCCCTTTGAAAATGTCCATGTCATCCACACCGAGCAGCATTGTCCTGCCCTTTTGACCATACCGCTCAATGAGCTCTCCGACTTTCCTTTCAGTCTCGGGTAAGCTCAAAACCGACTGAAGCTGACCCATGTGGATTCCCACAGGAAGTATTTTGATACTCACGGTTCTACCGTAATACTCAAGTCCAATGTATCCTCTCTTTGATTCATAAGTAAGACCAAGCATTCGACTACAACAAGACAAGAAATGCCTTGCGTAGTCAAACGTATGGAACCCTATCAAATCCGAATTCAGCAACGCTCGAAGCAGCTCCTCCCGAATAGGCAGAGTTTTGTAAATCTCCGAAGAAGGAAACGGACTATGGAGGAAGAAACCAAGCTTAACCCTATTAAACCTCTTCCTCAAGAATGTAGGCAAGACCATCAAATGGTAATCATGTATCCAAACGAAATCATCCTCAGGGTTAATCACTTCCATGATCCTATCAGCGAAAATCTTGTTCACGGAAACATAAGCTTGCCACAGAGACCGATCAAACCTGCCTCCAAGGTCAGGAGAGAGTGGCAACATGTAATGAAACAAAGGCCAAAGCTGTTGTTTACAGAATCCATGGTAGTATCTTGTATACAAATCAAGTGGCAAAAACGTTGGCACACACTTGAAATTCTCAAGAAGAACTTGATACACTTCTTCTTGCTCATTAACATGAATCTCTTCTTTCAAACAACCAACATAGATAACTTCAATCGATTCGTCTCCTAAACCATCTTTCAATTGGAGGAGAAGTGAATTCTTATCCCAAGAAAAGGTCCAACCTTTAGTTGTACAG